GCTTTCTGGGAAGGAGCAGAGAATGAGGACAAGGAGCTGGTTGCCTGAACCTGGGATCCTCCTCTGAGGTACCCAAGTTCTTCCTCTCTCAGCCTCGATGGATGGGCTGCCTCCCATCATCCTCCAGGGACCAGCCAATCAGACACTGGCACTTGGCTCCTCTGTGTGGCTGCCATGCAGAGTGACCGGGGACCCTCAACCTAGCGTCCAATGGAAGAAGGACGGGCAGTGGCTGCAGGGGGATGGCCTCCAGCTCAACCTCATGGCCAATGGTACCCTGCACATCACCAACGTGCAGGTGAGTCTCACCCCGGGCCCAGGCCACTGAGAATGGCCAACTGCCGTTAAGCACCCGCTGGGACTCTAGCTCCCTTCTAACCATCTGCTCTCAGACCACCTGGAGTGCACAGCCTCCTCTCCATCCTTCCGAATGCCGGGCTGTACCCTCTCACCCCACCTTGTTCCACTCCCAGTTTGCCAGTCCTCTGCCCTCCCCTACAGGAGACGGACATGGGCGTCTACAGCTGTGTGGCCAGGAGTTCCACAGGGGAGGCCGCGTGGAGTGCCTGGCTTAGGAAGCGGGGTGAGTTTTTCCTTTGTTCCCTCCTTTGCCAGCACCTTTCTCCAAACATTCTTCAAAGGCAGCCAATGCTCGGCCGCCAAACCCCGGGACTAATTTTATCTTCCCAATGCCATGGCCTTGGTAGTGGGAGGAGGGGGAGGAGGATAGAATTGGTGCCCTTGGGAGGCAGATGTGAGTAGAGGTTAGCGCACTATGTCCCTCTCTCCACCATCAGCACTGTCTCAGCTCCACTGTCCCTCTGGGAAGGCGGCAGGTTACATTCTTTTCCCAGTCTTCTCCTTAAAGATGATCTCCTCACTGCAGACGACTGGGGAGAATTACCAGGCCCGCCCCCAGAACCCAGCACCCCTCCGGGGCCTCCCTCTCAGCCAGTGGTCACCGAGATCACCAAGAACAGCGTGACCCTGAACTGGAAGCCCAACCCACAGGCTGGGGTCGCAGTTACCTCTTACTTGATAGAGGCTTTCAGGTACAGGGAAGGTTGTGAATGCAAACCTGGACAGTTCAAGGGAGGGGCCCCTGTGTCCTTAGGGACTTTGCTATTGTGGGGAGAGGTTTGCCAGTACCCTTTCCTGGGGGAGGAGGCAGTAGGGGGCCAGCGAGAATGGGTGAGATGGAGTAGGCAGGTTGGGGGTCCCTAGCTCAGACAACTCTGCCACCTCATTCCCATTGCAGCCAAACAGCTGGCAACACATGGCGGACAGTGGCAGATGGCGTGCAGCTGGAGACACACACCGTCGGTGGTCTGCAGCCCAACACCATCTACTTGTTCCTGGTGCGAGCGGTGGGAGCCTGGGGCCTCAGTGAGCCCAGCCCCGTCTCTGAGCCTGTCCGCACCCAGGGTAAGGGCAGGGTCCCTGGCTCATGGTTATGACATGTGATACTGCATAGCACCCCTCCCCCCAAGCCATGGCACCATGGCAGCTTTTTCCTGTGGTGCCAGGTCTATATGGGGGGGAAGGGGGACTGGCCTGAAGCAGGGGGTCATGCTTCCCTCTCATTGAGGGACACACACTCTCACACACACTCACACACACACACACACACACTCACACACACACTCACACACACACACACTCACACAAGCACACACACACACACACACACACACACGGGGTGGAGAATGATTCAGTCACCTTGGTGGCACCTCACTCCGGGTCCCTTACAGCATATGTAGATTATCAGGACTAGAAGGCCCACCTCTGTCCCCCCTCCCCCAGCCTCTCTTGACCCTGGGTGTGCTCTGGAGCACTGAGCAGGACTCTCTGCAGGGCAGGGCAGAGGCAGGACACAGCACACTGTCAGTGGTGACTCCCTGCCCCTGCTGGCCCGTGCTGAGCGGGCTCTTTGGTCAACAGACAGCAACCCACCCAGGCCAGCAGAGGACCCACGGGGCGGCCAGCCGGGACTGGCTGAAGTGGCTGTGCGTCTGCAGGAGCCCATCGTCCTTGGGCCCCGGACCCTGCAGGTGTCCTGGACTGTGAGTGTGGCCGAGGGATGAGGTGAAGGGCAGGGATAATGACGGGGGACATAGGGGCCTCCAAGAATGGGTGGGGGAGAGTGGGAAGGGAGTGGCTGGGGAAGATGGGTGAATGGAAGAGGGGCTGGGCCTGCTACGCTCCCTCTTCTCCCCTGCAGGTAGATGGCCCAGTCCAGCTGGTGCAAGGTTTCCGGGTGTCTTGGAGGGTAGCAGGTCCTGATGGGGGAAGCTGGACAGTGCTGGACCTACAGTCCCCAAGCCAGCAGAGTACTGTGCTGAGAGGACTCCCCCCGGGGACCCGCATTCAGGTCAAGGTGCAAGCCCAAGGCCAGGAGGGGCTGGGTGCTGACAGCCTCTTGATGGCCAGGAGCACGCCCGAGGAGGGTAAGGGGCGGCCGGAGCTGCTGGATGGACAAGAGGGAAGTGGGAGGGGGAAGGCTTGCAGGGGGGAGAGCAAGGCAAGTGGGTGGGAAGCCTTAGTTCCCTAAGATGTTCGAACTGGGGGGTGGGGGTGGGGGTGGGAAGAGGTTGGGGCCTGAGGGGCAGCTTGCAATGGCTGAGTCCTTCTCACCACGTTCCACCCTGGCCAGCCCCCAGCGGTCCCCCCCAGGCAGTGGCAGTAGCCTTGGGGGGTGAAGGCAACAGCAGTATCACGGTGTCCTGGGAACCCCCGCTCCCCTCCCAGCAGAATGGGGTCATCAAGGAATACCAGGTACAGGGTGTGTGGGAGGGCG